GGGACTCCTCAGCAGTACGCACCCACGACCCGGCTAGTAGTCGAGCTCAGAACCTTCAGGTTTCACGTCGAACGCGTTGACCATTCAGCCACTGGGTCGGTTTCCAGTGGTTCATAATTTCCAACTTCTGTCAATTCACGACATAGAGTGACTATCACCCAAGGTTTTAAGCTAGCATCCACTTCACTTCCGACTGGTTGACCTCACAGGTCACGGCTGCTGAGGAGTCCCATACTAGGACGAAACAGCTGTCCAGTGCTCCCAGATTTTCAATGGTTCCCCAACTGTTATCAATCCACGATGAATACTACTTCTAAATTAAAATCCCCATTCATCTCAAAAAAACATATTTTTCATTGTTTATATGATAAACAATGAATGATACATTTTCCATAAAATGTTAACACAGATAAGCATACATGTACCTTGATTATTGAATGGTTCTTTGATAACAGATAACAAAGACTGTAGTATGGATTTATGATGACTAACTGGAAACAATCGGTCTAAACAACAAAACAGCTAACCAATAACATAAAGACAGAAATTTCTACATATACCTTTTTACAGTGTGCAGATTTCGATGTTAAATAAAAATGCTAATATTCTACTGAAGAAGCTGTGACATACACAGAGAAAGGTTCAGAAAAATCTTGTTTTCGATTTTCTAAACACGCTTGGATTATATATAAACTTACCTATATAATGCAATAATAATAATGATAACGGTAAATGCACTTTTGATAACACTTGAAGTATCAGTGATAACAAAATGGATTATATTATGGTTCATCGAATGTGAGCTAACAGAAGTTGGAAATATGGAGCATTGGATTCTGACCCAGTGGCTCAATGGTAACGTGCTGGCCACGGAACCTGAAGGTCGTGGGTTCGATCCCTGCTGGTGGGGTCGTGGGTGCGCACTGTTGAGGAGTCCTGTGTTGGGATGAAACAGCTGTCCAGTACTCCCAGGTTTCCTTTGTTCCTCCAACTGATGTCAGTCTTCGATGAATAACAACTTGAAATAATTCCAAATCTCCACAACTCCCTCAAGAATGTATATGACTCAGAAAGGAGCGTGAAATTGATGAAAATAGTAGATCAATAAAGTGTTATGTAATAGGACTAGACAAGATGTTAAAATGCAACCAATATATTTTTTTCTTTTTCTTCGTGGTTAAGACGATTCAGAGAAATAACATCGGAAACTATTCAAACAAGAGTGAATTCGGAATAAATAAATCCTGTGGAGTGAAATTGTGTTCTACCTTCTCTTCAGATATTATTTATAACTGCCTAAGCTAGTCATTAATGTTTGCCACCATATTAGTGGGATGGATGTCTAACCCATTTTTTCTGTTGATTGAAGAAGGATATGAACAGATGCACAGATGTTGAGGAATAATACAAAATATATGTTTATTTTGTTATTTGTTCTAATATACTACGCCAGGATTACATAAGTAAAAATACCCCTTATACAGTTTTTTTAATTTCTTTTTTAACCTAGTTCACTAGTTACTAGCCGGTCCTAAGCCCGGGTAAACAGGGAAGGTTGGACATAGGGCAAGCAACCCTACCCCGTAAAACAAGTCTAACCGCTAAACAAACTTCAAAGCACAAACGATATATAAAAAATAAAAAGAAAATTATTCCTCGCTGGAAGTGGGGAGGCGAAATGACGCCGATTGGTGAAAACCTTCGGGAAGCCATTTGGCCGATGTGTCTTCTCTCCCTAGATGAAAGCGAAAGTAATGATGGGGACATGGAATGCCCACACGATGTTTGAATCCAGCAAGGCAGCCCAGATTGCAAAAGAGATGAGAAGGTATCACGTTGAAGAAGAGAAGAGGGGGATACGCTGGCTGGACTGCGGAAAAGAACCTAGAAGATTTGGATTTCGCCGATGACTTGTGCCTGATGTCACATAAACTTGAAGATCTACAGGCGAAAACCAACAAGTTAACAGAAGAGACAGCGAAGACGGGACTTCAGGTGAATATAGAGAAGACAGAAGTGATGAAGATACCGCACCACCACCATCAACAACAACAACAACAAACTCCAGTCACCATCAACGAGAGAAACTTAAAGGAAGTAACCTCCTTCACTGTTCTAGGAAGCACTGTTTCAACTACAGGCGGCGGCACAGACGAGGACGTCTAAGCAGCCAGGATCGGAAACACAGCAAGACAGGCGTTGATTAGCCTGAAACCAGTGTGGAGATCTTCTGCAATCAGCATGTGGAACAAGATACGGATTTTCAACACCAATCTCAGTCAAGTCAGTGCTTCTATGTGATGGTTGAGAGACTTGGCGCGTCACGAAAGGGATTTCCAATAAACTACAGACATTCATCAACAACTGCTTACGCTGGCTCGACACTGAAGATCAGATGGATTGCCAGAAAGAATAAGCAACAAGGAGCTCTGGGAACGAACCAACCAAGAAGCTGTCGCTCAATAAATATGTAGAAGGAAGTGGAGATGGATTGGGCAGACACTGAGAAAGCCAACTGGAGACATCACGCGTCAGGCCAGTTGCTCAAGTGGAACCCCGATGGGAAGCGACGAGTTGGGCGTCGGTGCGGAGGTTGACATGGAGGAGGTCGTGCGAGGAGGAAATGAGAGCTTGTGGGCTGTCTTGGAACCAGGTTGAAAAGATCTCAGAGAACAGAGTGGAATGGAGACGTGCTACTGAAGCCCTATGTTCCACCAGGAACCCAAGGGACTAATAATAATAATAATAATACAGTTTTTTTAAGCTTGAAAGCACTCATCAGAAAGGCTTGTCTGCAAATATACTTCCTTACTGTAAGCCACCTTCACAATGTTTGGCCTCTACTAGCATATGGATGCCGGCTGGAAAGCTTTGATATTGCCTATAATCTCACTGAGAAGTAGGTACATCCGACTGATGAGTAGCAAACATAACGTGAAGCGAGTCTTGGATTTCACTACTAGCCACTATCCATTATTATCATCTACTCATAATCTAGAACTTGGTGTTTTAAAATATTATCCAGTATATCTCATCAAATTAAATGAATTCACATAATCTGCAGCCAATATTTTAATAACTGGTTAATCGTTTCCTAGTTTACAACATAATATCCAGTAACTGAAGCTCCAATCACCATCAATGGGAGAAACTTAAAGGAAGTAGCCTCTTTCACCTATCTAGGCAGCACTGTTTCAACTACAGGCGGCGGCACAGACGAGGACGTCAAAGCAGCCAGGATCGGAAACACAGCAAGACAGGCGTTGATTAGCCTGAAACCAGTGTGGAGATCTTCTGCAATCAGCATGTGGAACAAGATACGGATTTTCAACACCAATCTCAGTCAAGTCAGTGCTTCTATATGGTTCAGAAACTTGGAGGGTTACGAAAAGTATTCCCAACAAACTACAGATATTCAACAACAACTGCCTACACTGGCTCGATACTGAAGATTGATCAGATGGCCGGAATAATGAGAATAAGCAAGAAGAAACTGTGGCTGGCTGGCCTGGAAACGAACCAACCATACACTGAGAAGGCCGATTGGGGATATCAGTCACCCGGCCAGGCACTCGAGTGGAACCCCAATGGGAAGCGATGAGTTGGGCATCTGAGGCGAGAGTGACATGGAGAAGATGGTGTGAGGAAGATATGAGAGCTTCTGGGCTGTCATGGAACCAGGTTCAAAAGTCTACAGAGAAGAGAGTGCACTCGAGACGTGCTATTGAAGCTGTATGTTCCATTAGGAACCCAAGGGACAAATAATAATAATAATCCAGTAACTGAGTGTTCTATTCTATTTGGTATCTACTCACATAACACTTCATCAATCCATTCTAAGTATGCTAGTAGTTTATAGTGCCCCTTATCTTGCTCGCCGTCTTAGGTCAGGTATGTATATCCGGTGTCACATTACCGAAATGCCTTCAAGGTTTAGTGAGTTACATCTCTAAATGCGAATTCCATAGCTTCCAGGTTAAATCTGGTTCTTTATATTCAGTATTTTATTTTTATCCTAATCAGCTTCTGGTTTCGATGCTTATAAACTGAATTTGCTGGGTACACAACTGATGATTTCATTGATAGATGGGAAGAACGGCAGTTAATTGTTTACGGCCATCTGATCTAGCTAATTTAATCCGAAGGTTATATTGTTCAGTAGTCTTTTGTTTAATCCCTTGGTAATTTATAAAGGTTCTACGCGATAGTGGATAGTGTCTAACAATGAAATCCAAAGCGTACCATCCATCCCTTTTAGGTCTCATCAGGTGTGCGTACCTGATTCCCATCGAATGATATTTTTACATTCAATTTCGAACCAAGAACCGACCACTTCATACACCAGTGAGTTACGATAACCGATCTTTTTACGATGCGTATAGTATAGTTTTTACGTTATACTCTGTATTTCCAGGTCGTTAACTGATCTGCTGTAACCTATTTGTAGAAGCGAAGTCAACCTACTGTATGTCACTCAATGAAGCCAACCAGTGACATAATTTCTCTGAAATTAAAAAATCATCCAACACACGTCTATACACTTATCAGTTGACCAGTAGGGTTTATACTTAAGCAAAGTTGTATATGGAAGACATCTGTGCACAATTAATTACTTCACATCTTTATGAAGCTCTAGCGCACTTATGACGACGTCCAGTATGACACTGAAGTATTTACCAACTGATATCAAAGCTCAGTGAACAACTCTCTCTCTGGCCATCTAAATCTTGAGGTACGAATATTCACTATAATTATATTTGTTAAAATGCACCCCACAAAGATAAACTAGAACCAATAACAAAATGAAGAAATTGAAGAATAGATAGTGAACATGGAATAAATTACTTTTTATTCATATCATAACAAACATATAATTTCCATACTTTTTCATTAGAGAAGAGAAAAACCCACTGTAAAACACTTAAAACAAATAAAGTGAAAATGAGAACATCGTTCATTTTATTATTTTTTCACCAGTATAACCCTTGAAAAGTGACCGCTTAAAGTTCTTCATGGTGTTGTAGTGCATTTCCATAGTTTGTAGCTTGACTACTGACAAAAATGTCTCGTTTCATAATAATTTCATTTTCGGTTAAAAGACCATCCTTAGAAGATGAAAATAAGAAAATAGGTCATAACATAAGGGAGAAGAAAAATCGTATTTTAAATGAAATTTTTAAGTAATTTTCATAAGATTAGATAGATGGAAGGAGATTACCTGCAACTGTCTAACATCAGTCAATTCACATACCAATGATGAAAGCCTGATGGTCATGAGGACAGTTACTCAACGATGACATTGGGTGGCGGTTGCGCTATATCGTGAGCCAATAGAAGTTGGAAATATGGATCATTTGATTTCAATCCAGTGACTCAATGATAACGTGCTGGCCACAGGACCTGAAGGTAGCTGGTTCGAATCCTGGTGGGGCTGGGTCATGGGTGCACACTGCTGAGGAGTCCTGTGTTGGGATGAAACAGCTGTCCAGTACTCCCAGGTTTCCTTTGTTCCTCCAACTGATATCAATGTACGATGAATAACAACTTGAAATATCTCCAAATTCCCACAGCTCCCTCAAAATTCAATGATGAATAGATTTCAATCCACTCTTCAGACTAGATTATATTAACGGTCTCTGTCTCTCCGATGTTCGGGAAAGGTTGCAAATTGACAGGATTAAAAAAAAAAATAAGGACCACCACCCTTCAACTCAGTGGCTTAGTGGTCTTGGGTTCGATCCCAGGTGACTCGTCGGTATGCATTGCGGGTAAGTCCTGTAACAGTTTACTGTACAGTAAGCTGTTGAATTGGTAACAATGTTTAAAAAAGGAGTACAAATGAACCATGAACGTATAAAATAATGAATGATAAGTAAAAGCAACAGTTTTAGTAGAATATCATGGATTCATTTTATTTCTGTGTTTCTCATCATCCGGTTACAATGTAAAACAATTTCATTATGGCTTTATACTAAACCTTTGCATACTAGAATCATTTTAGCAGCAAACTAGGCAATAATTTTATAAAAACTGATGTTAAAATTGTTCTAGATTGCAAACAGTTGATGAAGAAGAGTAAAATTAAAACGATGTACACTATTCTACTAAAATTGTTATAATCGCTCTTTTTAGATTTTTCAAGGGAAAGGATTGTATGAAATGAAAAATGACTTATGTGGATAAAAATCTTTTTATCAATTACCCTACACAACTTTATAAATATTAGCATTTTAATACTTGTACGATTCTCAGTTACAAAAACACTGTAAATCTACATTCATTGGTCACTGGGGAGCAACCAATTTCATGTTAATCATTTCTGAGTGTTAGCCGATTTTTATCGATCAGTTTTCAATATGGCCATCAAGCTAGAAGACTCGTTATCGCGGTGAGTTTTTCATGGATATTTTATTTGTTTGGGGGTAATTGGTCAGAAAGTCTAGACCCAGGTTTCATGCCAGTTGGAACTCGTCAGCGAGGTGCTTCTTTAAACCTATTAGAATTTGGTCAGCATTTAGGAAAAGATAACATGGAAGTAGATGCCCCCTACTGACCAATCATTGTGTATATTCCAATCATACAGGAGGCTCTGTTGTAACATCAATGACTATAATACCGGGTGAAGTGGTTTGAAGTCCCACAGGATATGTTGCTTTTTCAAGGTTTCAGATAAACCTTGCTGACAAATACAAAAAGAGCGCGATACTTGGGTTAAGAAAGGGTTTTTTGTCGATTACATCCACCCAACTTATGCGATGTCACTTTAGTACACTTTGTTTTTGTCAGATAAATAATTCTCTTATTAAATTAAGATAGATACATCTTATCATCTGATTTTCTGAGGTAGCCGTAGTTGGACAGAGTAGTATTTTATACATAGCTATTTTGATGTCGCTCCAATTTTCTCTGAGATTATTTGAAACCAACCAATCAAGTGTTATAACCAAATAGGTTGATTTAGTAAGTGATTATATGTCACTGTTTACTGAGGTTGATCAATTTCCCGTGGTACATTATACCGTCGAATTTTGAAAATTATTCTTATTATGGTTTGGAATGCTTTTGATTTACATGGCTGCGTATCTTATAGGGTGGACTGCATTTCGATTGGTTTAGTGAGTGGAATAACCATTTAGCAATGTGACCACCATACTACACTGTACGACCATCAGCATTATTATCTTGAATATTACTGAAAGACAAGGATTCTCAAAGTTGTGTATCTCATATGCGTGAATGGTAGTTGTTTTTTAGTGAGTGAATGTCATAGACTTTATACTATATATAATTTGCACCGAATTAAGACAGCTTCAACAACCATGCCTACCTTGTCAAACTCCCAAAGAAGGGAGAACTAAGCCTTTGTAAGAACTGGCGGGGAATCATGCTCCTGTCCACCACACAAAAAATATTAAGGCGCATCGTCCTAAAGAGACTAAAAGATGAACTGGATTCCAAATTGCTACCGGAACAGGCTGGTTGACTGGATTCAGGGAAAACAGATCACGTGCCGATCAAGTTGCAACGCTACGCGTCATCGTAAAACAAAGCAAAGAATGACTGTCCAGTCAGCTCTCTATATCAACTTCATCCACTTTGAAAAGCCCTCCGACAGAGTCGACCGAGAAGTAATTTGGCAGTTGCTTCAACACTACGGAGTGCCACAAACATTTATCAACCTCATTCAACAGCAGCTATATGACGACGCCACATACCAAGTGATTCACAATGGAAAGCTCAGTGACGCCTTTGAAGTGAAGATAGGCGACAGGAGTAAGAAAAGGCTGCCGCCTAATATCACCAGTCATCCTCCTCGTTGTGGTGGACTGGATCGTGTAGCAAACCGTGAGGAGCGAGAAGAGGGGGATACGCCAGCTGAACCGGGGAAAAGATCCTAGAAGGAGATTTGGATTTCACCGCCGATGATGACTAATGTCTAATGTTTTGTCGCACAAACTCAAAGATCTACAGGCGAAAACTAACAAGTTGACAGAAGAGGCGAGGCAACGAAAACGGGACTTCAAGGGAATGTAGAGAAGACGCAGGTGATGATGATACCCTACGAACAACAGCATGAACAACAAGCAACAATGACCGTTAACGGTAGAAACTTGATGGAAGTAGTCTCTTTCAACCACCATGTAGGCAGCACTCTTTCAACTACAGGCAGCACAGGCACAGACGAGGATATCAAAACCAGGATTGGAAAAGCAAGATAGGCGTTCATCAACCTGAAACCATTGTGGAGATCTACTGTACTCAGCATAAAGCGTGAACAACATCCAGATTTTCAACAGCAATGTCAAGTCAGTGCTGCTATGCGATGGTCCTTTGACTTGGCGCATCATGAAAGCCATTTCCAACAAAATACAGATATTCATCAACAACTACCTACATTGGCTCGATACTGAAGATTGATCAGATGGCCAGAACAATGAGAATAAGCAAAAGGAATTCTAGATGGCAACGAACCAACCAAGAACCTATCACCTAACAAATATACATAGTAGGAAAGTGGTGATGGATTGTATTGGGCATACACTGAGAAGACCGAGTGGGAACATCACGCGCCACGCCAGGTCGTCAAGTGGAAACTCAAGGGGAAACGATAAGTTGGGCGTCGGAGGCGAGGGCAACATGGAGGAGATGGTGTGAGGAAGAAATGAGAGCTTGTGCGTAGTCGTGGAGCGAGGTTGAGAAGACTGCAGAGGCTAGAGTGAAATAGAGGCGTGCTCCTGAAGCCCTACGTTCCGCCGGGAACCCAATGGAAAAATAATAACAATTATCAACAACCGTATAGTGAGGATTGACACAGAGATCTTCAATCTTATCAGAGTTATTTCTTCAGAACCTGGTAACCTTGGAGCTAGTTCTCAGCTTTGTCGTATATAAAGTAGGCACCTAATTTATATGCTATGATCTTCTAGTACGAATTTGTAAAACAGGAACCCTTTCGATGTTAGCTGGTTGAAGGGAGTTGATAGGAAACCTTTGACTTAGGCCTCGTGATAGCTGGTAGTTATCAGCAACACTTGTCTGCACCTCACTGTTACATCACTTCACCCAGTTGTCAGATTGGAAAGTTGGATCAATAGGCGTCGATCACAGCGAATCACTGAGGTGTAGACAACTACATAGATTATCCAGTGGTGATTAACTTGTGTGGAAATCATCTCACCTACTTCCACAAATAAACCTACAACTAGTTAATGATATCTGTTTTCTTGTTTTTAAAGATTGGCTAGTGTAGATGAATATTCATTTGGAAGTATGCAGTGTAGAATACGAATATCATAATACATTAGTTGTGGCTAACATATTAAGACCTATTACCCAATACATCGAATAGTTAAATGCCACCAATGGCGTTCAGGTAAACGGTAATCAGTGGGAATTTTAAGCAAAAGTCAATTTAACTCACTTTGTTAGTATCAGCATGATAAAATAAATGTTTTGTTTCAGCGTCAACAGGATCATAATTTGATGGCATAATCCATTCACCAACTTCTGTCCTATCCATTTTACCATCTTGATTAGTATCCCTGAATCGACGAAATTGACTTCTTTCACGTTCAACCCATTCTGGTTCAGGTTCATTATCATCCAGTGGAGTACTTTGATAAGCACGAGACAGATCAGCTATTAAGAATAATATTGGAATAAGCAGAAAGTTAATAATTATATTGAAACAAAACCAAATTATTTGATCAATGAAATGCTGTGTCAGATTAAAGAACAGTTGAAATATAGGCTGTTCTCCATGCAAGCCGTAAATATCGTCTTCTAATAAAATTAATCATTTCAAACGTTGAGAGTCAAATAAAAGTTTGTGCAGTCAGAGGACTTAACCAGCAAACTTTATTCACAGTTAACATGATCGCTAATACATGAAATTCTGTAAACTTGACAATATAGGTGTAAAACTTGGGCACTGTGATAGAATTTAATCCCATATTACATTTGTTTATAGCACACAATGTGACACAGCATTGTATACTTCATGACGAAGTTTCGAGCATAAATTATTCCTTATAATCATATCAGTGTAATCACACTAGTCAAATTTTCCATATCTCTGGTATAGGTGTTATGTCATTTCTATTACGTGTTAAGTTAGGGTGTTGATTGGATGAACAAAGATTTGGTAATCAATCTCTCTCTCCACCTAATTATATTGGACTTAAGTACAGTGGCTTTATCCCACCCTGTTGTGTGGTTGTGTGTTAATGAGTGCATTGCAATACCCGAGTGTTTTTCGAGATTATTGATCTTATTTAGGTTATTCATTCTATGTCTGGATAAATTCATATATTCCGCTGTTCTAATTGGCCACCACCGCCTGGTCCGACCTATGTATGTGACCTCGCAGTCATTACATAGAATTTGATAGATTCTATCGGGTCCTCAAGCCAGCCGACAAAGTTTATCTCTGAATGAGTTTGTAGATTTAAATGCCACCCTAATTCCAGCTTTGTTGAGGATCTTACGTAAAGTTTCTGTGGCACCCTCCTTATAGGGTAATACAATGGAGGCTGTGAACTCCTTACTGCTTGTGTTGCCGTCATTATTCGTACTTACTTGAATGTTATCTTTTCGTTTCTTGTATGTCCGTACGACTTTCTTAATAAGCTATAGAGGATAATTTCTACATATTAACGCTTCTTTTACAAGTGTTTCAATTCCTTGTTTAGGTCCTTGCACTGACTAATCAGTTTTGTAGCTGTATCACTTAGATACTTGGCTAAAACTACCTTAACTGACATAGGATATGTACTGAAGTCTAGATACCTGCTGGAATATATCGGTTTTCTGTAAACTGCAGTATCCAAACCATTGTCTGTCCTTCGTTTTATCCTGCAGTCCAACATAGGTAGTTCTCCCCGTATTCATTTTCTACTTCATAAGTGAACTCGACTGCATCTACTACTGAGTTTATATATGTGTTAGGAAATTGTCGATATGTTCCGATTCCAACACAGTAAATGTATCATCTACATATCACCACCATATTCTTGGGGCAGGACTAAACATTTGTATAGCCATGTTTTCCCAACTATCTATAAATATATCTGCTACGATTGGGGATATTGGTGATCCCATTGCTACTCCTTCTGTTTTTCTGTATATTTTGTCCTGAAACTTGAAGATTGTGGGGGTCAGCCACAACTGTATGCCTGATATGATCTCATCAACCGATATCTTAGTTCTGTTAGTAAGTTCTGAGTCAATATTTAGTTGACATGAAATAGAAATGACGCAACACCTATAACAGAGATATGGAAAATTTTACTATTGATAAAGACAAATCATATGAGGTGACAGGACTATAGAAATCAAATGTTGGAAGTGCTATATAATTACATTCATATGATAATGAGCTCGAACCGTCATCAAGTAAATAATACTAGATCACTGTGTCTTATAAATCAAATGAACAAATCTAATATGGAATTAAAGTCTACTGAGGTATAAATAATTAGAAAATGTTGCCTAGTAGGTTGTATACATCAAAAAGAACCTACTAGGAAGTAAGAAATTGGATAGAAGTTTTATAGTTACTTCTGTACAGGATTTCAGAGGTCCTAGATGAAACTAATCATTGAATATTTTATTTAGAAAATGAAATCTGAACTTATCACCTATATTCAGAATGTCAATGCTTCAGATGTTGGATCAGTTGATACTACCTTCGTAAGTAGTCACAAATGAAACTTATAAGTTGTTTTTTCTTCATATATAAGCATATAGCATCCTTAATCTCAAACAAGCTTAATTATTATTGTAAACATTTTTAATAGTTTGACTAGAAAACTGAAGACAATTTGTGCTAAATGATTGGAAGACACAATGGGAATCAAATAATTGCAGATCTTACATCCCACAACCATCTTCACCATAGAATCGTATTGGAAACATGTAGAATTTTCATGTCAAATTTAGTCATTCAATTTGTTAAGGTATCACATTTGGTAGTGAGTCAGTACAAGTAATCGGTAAGTTATTTGAAAAACAGTTTTGAGCTATAAGAAAATTCATATTAACATTGAACTGTTATATATATTTAGCGTAATATATGCACATTGTTACTACCATGGTCTTAATTTCCGCCAGTCTCAACTAATATCCCCATCAAAGCCAGTATCCTGAGGGTTTCATTGCTAAAACTATGAAACTGAAAGTAAATAATCATTTCACTTCTACGGCTCCTTAGAAGCCTCTTTTTATGAGCTTACAGTTCAATGGAGACAATTTACCAGATATATTGAGAGACCGTCTGACATGCTTAGTAAGTAAGATTTTCTATGCTACCAAACTCAGATTAAATTTCTCCACTCACCAAGTGCCTCGGTTATGCGTGAAGGATGAGGTAATTCATTTAGCCACCTTGATGTCTGTTTATCAATTCACCTACTCCTGTGAAGTAAGGTATATTTGACCTACTCAAGTATATGCCATTCTGGTTCCATAAAAGCAAAAGAAGGACACTTCATAGCTGTAGTCTAGAACATTTGATCGATTATGACCACTTGGTAAATGCAGAAAACAACTTTAGTTTCATCTATGGTGTTCATGCAAGTCTCATAAAATGCTTACACCTAAAACTTCTTCAAACTCAGGTAGCTATAGTAGTTAATATTTTGAAGCCTGAATTCTATATTCAAGAGAAATTTATCTAGTCACTAGAGTTGCAGTGAACAAAAACGACGGCAGCCAACTTGAATCTTGGGCTAACAAAATTTATCTACCGAACTTTTTTCACCAAATTTTCTTCTTTCAATTTGTTTTAATCATATAAATATATCCTTAGAACATGTTATGTACTCTGGCACATTTTTAAATTGTCCTCAACTCTAAGTTTCTTAAGTCCATCACAAAGCAGAGAAAAATATGTAACGTTATATGGAAGTGAGGATGTCAAAGCCAGGATCGGAAAGACAGCAAGATAGGCTTTCATGAACTTGAAATAATCAGTGTGGTGATCTACTACACTCAGGATAAAGCTTGAACAACATCCAGATTTTCAATACCAATGTCAAGCCAGTGCTTCTATATGGTTCAAAAATTTGGCGCGTCACGGAAAGCATTTCCAACAAACTGCAGACATACATCAACAGTTACCTACGCTCATGCGATGCTGACACTGAAGATCAGGTGGCCAGAACAATAAGGAATTCTAGCTGACAACAAACCGACCAAGAACACATCGCCCAACAAGTAAACATAGAAAGAAAGTTGTGATGGATTGTGTTGGACATACACTGAGAAAACCATTCGGAGACATCATGTGCCAGGTCAGGCTCTTGAGTGAAATCCAAAGGGGAAACGATAAGTTGGGCGTCGGAGGCGAGAGTGACATGGAGGACATGGTATGTGGAAGAAATTAAAGTTTGTGGTTGGTCGTGGAGCTAGGTTGAGAAGACTGCAGAGGCTAGAATGAAACGGAGATGTGCTACTGAAGCTCTATGTCCCACTAAGAACCCAAGGGACAAATAACAATAATAATATATGGAAGTGGACTTTTCAGTTCAAAAAAGTACATCATACTTCTATCCGTCAGATGCTTAGATTGAGTTACAGATGTTTGTACCGGCTGAATGAGACGCCATCACCAAAATTACGCTTGCATTTCTGTTGATTCTTCATTATGGACGTGACGCCCATAAAGAACCACTTGCCTTGAATACTGTTATTATTACCATCATTTCACTGCAATAACCGTTTAGTCTGAAAGTATTGTTCTGGGAGTGAATCTGTTGAAAAATTATACACTGAGAATTCCACTCTGTCATACATATTGTTTGGAATAAAGTGATTATTTTTATTACTCTATAAGGAGAACAGAGAGCATTGGAGACGTGCTACTGAAGCCCTACGTTCCATTAGGAACCCAAGGCACAAACAATAATAATAATATAATGAGGTTTTTATCATCAAAAATCTTTTCATTTAGATCTTCTAACATATTACACTCCTTCACTTCTATAATTCTGACTTCTTTTTACATTCATCGTGTTTCATCATTTAACTTAGTTTCATCCTGGTAATTCTTCTCACTGCTATTTCAAACATTACGTAATTCTCTTTTGCCGGTCTCCTGATTTTAAATCAAATGTGAACTTTATGATAACTTGGTTGGTTGTGGTAAGCAGAAGAATCCAGGACCCGAGTTTCGTCCTATTTTGGGACTTGTCTGCTAGCCACAACCAACCAATTTACTATAGTTAACATTCAGGCAATATCGAGGCATCCGCATAGGAGCCCATATGCCAATAGAGGTCGAACAATTCAATCCAACAAAACAATGGAGAATTACAAGCATGTCAATAAATAATGATAACTACTACGCGTTGTACAAGGAGTGGCTATCGTTCCTGTGTGACATAGTGGATAACGCCTTGGTGTTTGAAGCGATGGGTACGAGGTCCGAGTCTCAGCTGGAATGACATCATTGGAGTGCAGGTACATCCAGCTAACGAGTCCCAAGTAGGACGAAACGCGCTTCCTGGATTCTTCTGCTAGCCACAATTTATCATAATTAACATTCAGGCAATATCGAGGCATCCGCATAGGAGCCCATATGCCAAGAGAGATCGGACAATTCGATCCAATGAAACAACGGAGAATAACAAGCATATCAATGAATAGCAATAAATGTGAACTTTGTTCAAAATATTTCTTGAAACATTCCTTTTCTGTCACTATTTGAGCAGAACATTTAAATGTGATTGTACAACTGAAAAGTGACACATTGCTATACGTCTTTTGTTTTATTTCCCTATTATTAAGTAAGCTCAGCTTTGAACGGTATGTAAGACATTCAATTTACGTTCACTGTATTGTAAAATAATTGTGATTACTGCTGTAATATTTATAGTTTGGAACACTAAAATCCTTTTAAAATTGTGTTATTTAAGCTGTTGAAGGATGAATTCGTTTAAAAGAGGATTCCACTGACGAATATTTTGATGGTGTTGTGTTCTATGAGCTGGATGATTTAATTATAAAGCTTTCAGTCTCATTTTCTCTGGACAACATCAGCACAAACATCAGAAAAAAGTGAGCTTTAAAATTTTCTCCACAATTTATTTAGTAGCTTGTTCGAATGGCCTTGTGTGTGATTGGTTGTCAACGTGTTGTCATTGTCTCTATGTTTAATTCCATTGGTTGTCCTGATGACCTAAAACTTAACTTTCTTATTGTTTCTGATTGGTTGATGTCAATATGTCTGTTGATTGCTGACTGAGCTGAGTACCAAGCTTCTAAAAATTCTCTAACATTCTTTTTCCTTCTATTCAGCATTTTCACATTTTTCCAGTCAAATACATGTCCTCAGTTGTCTGTATGTATTGATATGAGCAAAGATATGCCATGACGCTTTACTGCTAGTTATTGTTCAGTTAGAAAGATATGAAGAGGGAGACCACCCTGTCCAATGTAGTGTTTTTCACAGTTTCAGCAGTTTATTTTGTAGATAATGTTTCATTTATCTCTCTTATGTACCAGAACAGCTATCCACTGGTTGACTTCTCAGATCTATGAACCATAGTTCCATAGAGTTCACAGTACAACCAACTATTTATGCCTAAGTTGACGGAGAGAGATTTGAGCTGTAAAGCTAATATGCGAGCAGATTAATTACAACTTCCTACTTCTTTAGGTCATTCCATCCATCCATCCAGATCAATCTAGGACCAGGCATTGCTGCCTAACGGTCCGAGTTGAAACACCTCATCTCATATCAGTACATCAAGTAAAAAGGTAGAGAGGTGAAGGATGAAAATAAGAGAATGCAGTCAAAAGAAATATAAAGTAGGAAAAGAGAGAAAGGAAGAATGAGAAAGTGGTGATATTTGGTATAGCGTCGTTAAAATGAGGATAATGTATGTACACATCTGCGCCATTGACATCGGTTCTCAGCCATGTGATCACCTAGAATCAGTCTGCAACCACTGGTTCCTCTTGTCCCATGAACCCCAACCACCTAATCTGCATCGTCCCACATGACTCAAACCAACAGTCAAACACTTCATACATTGGTGTTATGTTTTAGTCTGGTCACCTCGGGCCTGTTTCCAACCTGCACTTACTTCGGCCAACATTGTGTGACGAGGCAATCGGTGACTAGGCATACGTAACACGTGTCCCAACCATCTCAATCGATGGAGGTTCATTTCCTCGTCAGCTGATTTACCTCTACCTCTGACTTCTGCATTACTCACTCGCGTGGTGACACCACGAAATACGTCATATACTACGAAGGTAACGATGGTCAAACACCTGAAACCTTCTCACATCTTCCACCTTCAATGGTCATGTTTCAGGTCATTCAGCTCTCCATAAATATCCTGAAGCATGGAAACTATCGGATAGGTTACGTTCCGTTTACCAAGATTATTTTTATGAATCGGCTTTTGAAGCACTGTGCTCAGAGAAGCTAAGTTACTCGGAATTATAACTTCAAAAGTACTTTTTGTTTCAGATATCCCAGAGGGAGAAATAAATTAGTTATTCATATATTTCAAGCAAAATATGCATTCACTAAATCCCATATTTCTTTATAGTAGATTTTATACATTACAGACATTCTGTCAACCAAATAGGTTTAAACATCCTCAGTAGACATTCTACATAATGCGCAATTAGTGTTGTAAACTGATTTACATTATATGTTGATACGATTTAGAGGTTTGTGAGGATTTACTGGTTTCAACTTTGTATTCATCATGTGCCAGTATCATTTAGAGAACTACTAAAAAGCCAGGAGCATTGGACAGCCTATGACTCTCCGTGAAACCTGAAGGTCTTGGGCTGAACCCCTGGTACAGTAACGAGTACCCGCTACTGAAGAGTCCCATAGTACGACAAACTAGGTGCTGGCTGCTTCCAGTTTGTTAGTGGTTCTTAAAATGATGTCAGTCCCTGACAAGTACTACTTTCGAATATACGGTACTTGAGAAATAACAGTCCATGCTTAGAGAATAGGAGACGACTGTGTACGGCCAGTGATGTCAGTCCATTTTATATCAATAATAATCGCGTTAAATATCTGATCGTCTCCAGTCTCTGAGAGTGTAATTACGGAGTATATTATTCATCGCAGTAGTAAGCAGATTTCATGAATGGATGTTATGAGACAGAGCATCTGGACAAAGAAATATAAATCAGTTATACTAACCAACCATAATGTCTAGTATTTGTTTACTACAACTCAGTTGATAGATTATGAGTCATAAAGAATACTAGACAAAGATATAGTCCATTCTACTGAACAATATATTACATCTTCGATAACACATTGATTCAAGTTATTAACAGAAGATTACTGAGTTTCATTTTCTTTTTATAATATTCTCTTTAGGCCTAGTATTGAATAATTTGGTCATTTTCTACAGCTATTGAGTTATTCGATTAAGGCCTTAATCCAAAGAATGCTTTCATTATTGTCCTAAGGTTATTGAGTCCTGTCTGTTTTTTGTTTTTTTATCACTTCAGTGTACAATGATATGAAAGAAAAAAACAAGTAGTCATTAAAAAAATTCTGTAAATTACTTAAATATTCCTTTTCAGACACATATCCATCTTTATCTTTGTCCACAGATTCAAGCAATTCCTGTTGATGAAGAGAAGAAGGAATTCGGAATGTTATGAATCGAAAAGAAGTTATTCAGTTGTAATAATGCCTAGCATTCATCTTTCAATCAAAACAGTAAATACTAGATACAATAATACAATACAATACAATAATAGTAGATATAAAAAGGCTACCTTAACCTGCACAATGGTACCGTACTTAGCAATAACTTGTACAGTAGTACTAGAATACTTTAGGGAAAAAGTTGGATACACTTGTCACAAAGTATTTGTAAAGCTCAACCAGATATTTCTTACTCAGGTGTACTATAACAATCCATTCTAATTCTAGAAAGTGGTTAGAGTTCAATTGGATGTTATAGAACCGAGTATTGTCCAAAGATACCTAAACATCAGGATTGCTTCAATATAGTTTAATTTCATCATCGTCATCATCGATGACATTACCCTCGACTAACTTTCCCACTTGTTATGTGACTGGTTTACGGTAATCACTCACGGCGGAACAGGCTGCACAGATGGGGACGTCAAAGCGAGGATCTGAAAGATAGCAAGACAGGTCATCCAGCATTCATCTGAAATAATCAGTGTGGACATCTAATGCACTCAGTATAAAGCGTGAACAGCATTCGGGTTTTCAACACTAACGTCAAGTCAGTGCTTCTATATGGTTTAGAAACTTGGCGCGTTACGAAAAGCATTTCCAGGAAACTACAGACATACATCACATCAACAGCTGCCGAAAACGCTCACTGGATACTGAAGGTCGATCAGATGGCGAGAAATAATAAACAACAAGGAACTCTGGCTGGCGAAAAACCAACCGGGAACCCATCTCCTAACAAATATGCGGAAGAAAGTGGAGATGGATGAATTTCGGCATGCAATGAGAAGGCCGATGAGGGACATTACTTGCCGGGCCTGGCCAGTCCCTCGAGTGGAAGAGAAATGGGAAAGGACGAGTTGGACATCCATGGGCAACATGGAGGAGGTAGTGTGACGAAAGCAGAAACGAAAGCTTTTAGGAAGTCATAGAGCCAGATTGAAAAGGCTGGAGAGAAGAGAGTGAAATGGAGATGTACTACCGATGCCCTATTTTCCACTAGGAACCCGACTAAAATAATACTTACGAATTATGCAGCAGAGATGACAGCTGCTGCTTCCGTTCACTATAGCCACTTCCATTTAGAGTACTTTACAGTGTACAAGAGTTTTTTATTCCAACAGTAATCTCTAATCTCATGATGTTCGTATCTACGATTTTTACTTCTTTTCTAACTGCTTTCCTTTTTCCGTCAATCTCAAGTTTACACTTTTATGAACAAACTTTGCGCTACTTACTAATAATAAGTAGTGTAATCATAATCCTCTACAATGTTCCCTTATACAAAGCTTTGGTAGTCCATTTGAGTTGTAATCATATTTTATTCGTCATTTTTATATCTTAGGATATTTGTATCTTCTCCAGTTTGTAGTCCCGTTGGGTTCCCTTTCAGTAGTCCCCTGATGCCCTATTTTACCTGTACCATTTGTTTCTCCTGTGCCATCAAGGTCATCGTGGAAACAGGCGCGTTCTTCATATTTTCTTCCGGTTCACCTTCGACACCGCTTTGATGTTCATATTGCTAACGCACTTCCTATAAGTTGCTTCTAACGACGATAAGCCAACAGACACCTTTTGAATTTCACGCGTAACTCCGTCATGTGGAATATATATTAAAGAATCACTTGACAGTTTTTGATTTAAAATTTCTTGGGAAAAAATTCACAACGATGTTCTTCAAACATACTCAATGCGGTTTTTCCCAGTTTTTTACTGGACTGCTTATAATTTCAATTCTAGTTACTGTATAAATAAATGTAAGAACTGATGATTTTGCCGAATTCAAAGCACAATAAATATGCAAACAATTGAATTGCATCATAAATGATATTCAACAACTAAAGCTCGAAATCAGCAGCTCAATTCAATTCAAGCTCAAACCTTAGTCATGCGTACCTTCAAGATTTTATGGTCTAATGAAGATTCATAAAGCTTCCATTCTATGGAGACCAATTGTGAACATCACAAACACACTAACATGCAACCTTTTCATATATCAGGCTTCCATGTTTAAACACCGCTTCGCATCATCATAGAACAGAGCATAGAATGGCAATCAGCTCTCTACCTCAACTTCATCGACTTTGAGAAGGCCTTTGACAGCGTTGACCGAGAAGTAATTTGGAAACTGCTTCAATACTACGGAGTACCGCAAACCTTTTTCCGCCTCATTCAACAACTATATGAAGATGCTACATGCCAAGTAATTCACAATGGGAAGCTCAGTGATGCTTTTGAAGTGAAGACAGGAGTGAAACAAGGTTGCCTACTATCCCCCATGATATTCCTTATTGTGGTCGACTGGATCATGCAGCAAACAGTGAGGTGCTGTGAGAAGATGGGTATACGCTGGCTGGACTGCGGAAAAGAACCTAGAAGATTTGGATTTCGCCGATGACTTGTGCCTAATGTCACATAAACTTGAAGATCTGCAGGCAAAAACTAACAAGTTGATAGAAGAGGCAGCTAAGACGGGACTTCAGGTGAATATAGAGAAGACAGAAGTGATGAAGATACCGCACCACCACCATCAACAACAACAAACTCCAATCACCATCACCATCAACGGGAGAAACTTGAAGGAAGTAACCTCCTTCACTTATCTAGGAAGCATTGTTTCAACTACAGGCGGGATGGACGAGGACGTCAAAGTCAGAATCGGAAACACAGCAAGACAGGCGTTCATTAGCCTGAAATCAGTGTGGAGATCTTCTGCACTCAGCATGTGGAACAACATCCGGATTTTCAACACCAACGTCAAGTCAGTGCTCCTGTATGGTTCAGAGACTTGGCGCGTCACGAAAGGCATTTCCAATAAACTACAGACATTCATCAACAACTGCTTACGCTGGCTGGCTACTGAAGATCAGATGGATTGCCAGAAAGAATAAGCAACAAGGAACTCTGGGAACGAACCAACCAAGAACCTATCACGCAACAAATATGCAGGAAGAAGTGGAGATGGATTGGCCATGCACTGAGAAGGCCGACTGGGGACATCACGCGTCAGGCCAGTTACTCGAGTGGAATTCCCATGGGAAGCGACGAGTTGGACGTCCGAGGGTGACATGGAGGAGGTCGTGCGAGAAGGAAATGAGAGGTTGTGGGCTGTCGTGGGATCAGGTTCAAAAGATCTCAGAGAACAGAGGTCACTGGAGGCGTGCTACTGAAGCCCTATGTTCCACTAGGAACCCAAGGGACTAATAATAATAATATAATAATGTTTAAACACCTACGTAAGCACTCAAAATACATAATGAATAACTCATTTAACCGCAAATCTGAAAGTTCTTCCATTAAAATTGATGAAGATGAAATTATGGTAAGCTATGACATCAGTTGTCTCGGTGAGGTGATGAACGAGAATGTAGAATTGTTTGCAGAATTCTGTGCATTCAATGAGTTGGTGATTGGAGGCAGTGTGTTCAAGCACAAGGATATCCACAAAGCAAGCGACATAGATTTCACCAGACACCAGGACACACTAAAAATCAGATCGACTTTATCTCAATGTGAAGAAAGTAGAGACGCAGTTTACTTGACATAAGGTCAAGAAGAGGAGCAGATGTGGGTTCAGACCACTCACTGTCTAGTGCAAGGAATCTTCCAAATTAAGTTAAAAGCCTTCAAGGAAGCTGGTGATAGACCATATTTCAAGTACAACACTCAGAAACTGAAGGACGATACTGCAAAGGAAATCACGACAGCCAGCCATCAAGACAAAATGGGAGATATCGAGGAACATTCCTGAAAAAACCTATGTAGAAGAACACTGGAAATCTCTGAAATCTATGTGGAAAGAAACCTGCATAACCGTAATAGGAAGGAAGAAGAAGTGCCGAGACAAGGAATGGATCTCGAGGAGGATGGTGTAGCAGAAGATAAAGCAGCACAAGGATACTCAACGACAAGAGGAACTGAGCATAATGTATAAAACACTGGACAAAGAAGTGAAGAAGAGTGCACGGAAAGACAAAAGATACTTCTACGAAACACTGACAAGTGAAGCAGAACAGGATGCAGGTAGGAGAGGCAGAGACCTGACAATATTGAATCAAATAACCAGGTTGCTATCTGGGAGGAGATCAACGCAGACGAAGCCAATAAAAGATGATGACGCAAATTTAGTTAGAAAAGAAGAGAAACAGAGAATAACGATGGGCCGACCACTTCAAGAAGCTCTTGAATCGACCACCACCTGCACTTCATCCAGAAATACCACCTGCAGCCGCTGAACTACAAGTGAACATGGATCCTCCAACAAAAATGGAAGTCCTGAACGCCATAAAGCCACCGAAATGCGGGAAAGCAGCAGGACCAGATGGGATCCCGCCAGAAGCACTGAGAGCAGACGCAGAGACAACAGTAGACATGCTCACACCACTATTGCAGAAGGTGTGGAAGGAAGAGAAGGTACCTGCCAGTTGATTGGAAGAAGGGTTACCTTGTCAAACTGCCGAAGAAGAGAGACCTCAGTGTTTGCAATAACTGGCGCGGAATAACTCTCCTGTCCACCTAGAGCAAGCAAAATATTAAGCCGCATCATCACTGGAGACGTGCTACTTAAGCATTACGTTCCATTAGGAACCCAAGGGACTAATAATAATAATAATAATAATAATAATAATAATAATAATAATAATAATAATAATGACATCAATTCTTTATACACAATTACTCCAATTAATGATGGCCTAGATGTTATTTCTAATATTAATAAACAACAAGGAACTCTGGCTGGCTGGCAACCAATCAACCAACCAACCAACCAAGAACATATCACCCAACAAATATACAGAGGAAGAGAGTGGAGATACATCGTGTTGGGCATACACTGAGAAAACCATTCGGAGACATAACGTGCCAAACCAGGCTGTCTACTGGAAGTCAAATGGAAAACAACCAGTTGGGCGTCGGAGGTGAGTCTGACATAGAGGAGATGGTATGAGGACGAAATTAAAGGTTGTGAGCAGTCATGGAGACAGGTTGAGAAGACCACAGACAGTAAAGTGCAACGGAGATGTGTTACTGAAGTCGTATCTTCCACTAGGAACCCATGACACAAACAACAATTATCAATAAACTGGTGCATTCAGACAAAATAATCTGGTTCACCAAATCCACTCCAATGATCACAACGTCAAATACATAGGTGAAGGAAGTCGACCATGATCAAGTATAGAATAACACAGCACAAAATATTAGGTGAATACAGCTCAGAAGAAATGCTCACTCATAGCTCTGCACACAATTATACACAGTCACACAGTAGGGTGGGTTAGAGTGACAGCGTTGAAGACTAAGTTAATTGGGTGGAGGGAGGGAGAGATTGATAACCTAATCTTTGTTTATCACAACAACGCCAAACACATGCAATGAGAGGAATGATTGTGCACCTGTCTCAGATATATGGAAATTCCACTATCCTTGTCATCACGAGGAAGGAGAGAAAACTGGGAGTATAAAAGCTGTGTCTTAAAGTTGTGGAATTACTTGATATGACAATGGAAAATAAATAGTGTGCGAAAGACTATGTAGTCAATGATACTGTTTTACAGTGTGGCATCTCGAATAAACAGAGTGAAATGGAATTACGATCCACCATAGTGCTCAAGTTTTACTCCTATATCATTCCAAAGTCTGTACGCCGTTTTAGGCAATTATAACAGGAGGCACGTAGTTCAAGTGTCAGTGAGAGCAACACCACTCACTAGGGTACAGGTATGTTCACCTGACGAGTCCCAAGTAGTACAAAATGCGCGTCCTGGTTTCCTTTCCTTTCCTAGACACAACCAGGTAGGTTATAACAGGACATGTATTATTATTATTATTATTATTATTATTATTATTATTTGTCGCTTGTGTTCCTAGTGGAATATAGGACTTGGGTAACCCGTCTCCATTTCACTCTAGCCTCTGCAATCTTTTCAACCTCACTTCACGACTACGTACAAGCTCTCATTTCATCCTCACAACATCGCCTACATGTCACTCTCGCCTAGCACGCCCAACTCGTCGTTTCCCATCTGAGTTCCACTCGAGTGCCCGACCGGGTGAGTAATGTCTACAATCGGTCTTCTCAGCGCATACCTAATCCATCTCCACTTTCTTCTGCATAGTTGTCCTCTATTAATTTGTAGATCATTTACAAGTTGATCCTTTATGCTTTCAGTAGATATTTAGTTGAAAAATGAGGAATACTTACATCAATAACAGCATCACGCATATTTTCTCTATCTTCTGGATGTACAAAATCAGTGAATTCTGTTTTAGTCAATTGATTATCTTTGTCTAAATCAGCAGCAACCCATCTTCGTCTGTCATGACGAACAGCTTCTTTGTAGGATTCAGCGGTAGTTTCATCTCTTAGTCTTTCTATAAAAATAATATTTAAAGAAATACACATGTATCAAGAGAGATAAAGTAGGAAAAATGAAATGGCAGTAATGATATGGAAAAAGGTAACGAAATAATTATCCTTTTGTATCCAGAATGTAATTTATCCATCTCTCAGTGCCGTTTGTTTATTGTAACAGATATTATGTAAGAATAAACCGTAGAGAAAGAATAAGAAACACTAAAGTTGAATGTATACCAAAATATTGACTACTAGCAGTCGAGGCTGATACTCTACACCGCTATTCAATGTAGCAGTTTCAAGCTGCCTAACTTTCTTTCCGTATATAATTCCTTTATCGAAAAAGTTAGCTGGTTAACAAAGTTTAAAGCATGGTAGCTTTCTCAACTTGCCAATAACTTTCAATAGGTATACACTATGTCGACCGGAATTTTTTAGCTAACTTTTTAGGAAAAAGCTATTTTAAATATCCGTATCGGAAATATGAGTAACCTTTCTGTATTGTTTTCCTACGTGGAGCAGACCAGTAGACGGAATCTAGCTATGACCATATATGTATATTCAAAGCACTCTTCGCCATGTATTTCCTTAATCAGTATGTTTGTGGTCTTGGGATACTATCAGTCAGTTAAACTGAGACTTGGAACGTTACGAAAGGGGTTTCCAACAAATTACAGACATTAGTCAACAACTGCCTACACTCTCTACTGAAGATCAGATGGCCAGAATAATAAGAATAAGCAAGAAGGAACTTTGGCAACGAACCAACCAAGAACTTATCACCCAACAAATATGCAGTGGAAGGAAGTGGAGATGGATTGGGAATGCACTGAGAAGGCCGACTGGTGACATCACGCGCCAGGCCAGGCCGTCAAGTGTAACTCAGATGGGAAACGACGAGTTGAGTGTGCAAGGCGAGGGTGACATGGAGGAGATGATATGAGGAAGAAATGAGAGCTTCTGGGCTGTCTTGGAGCCAGGTTCAAAAGTTTGCAGAGAACAGAGTGCAGTGGAGACGTGCTACTGAATCCCTATGTTCCATTAGAAACCCAAGGGATAAATAAATAATAAAATAATAAACATTATCGTACACTTAGGAATAGAAAATCAGGAAAATCAAGGCAATGAAATGCGGAGTGAAAAAAAGTGTAGACAATTCTATAAAGTTATAGAAAGCAATGAAACTAGAAGAAAAGAGACTAGATAGAAGGATGAAATGTGGTGGTGTAAGATAAAGTTAAGGTATGAATGCATCTGCAACTTTTCACCTGATTCTGGGTTACATCACCACGGTTACATCAACTACCTAACTCGACTACAATGCAGGTGTAAATATGAAATTTTATACATTCCCGTATGCCTTAAAACAACAATCAGATACCTTATGAACTGATACCATGTTTTAGTCTGTTCATTATAAGCATCTTTTCAACCTAAACTTATGTCAGCTAACACACAGTACTGAAGTATACGGGGGATAGGCTTGGGTAGGACACGTCTTACAAACTGCAGTTGGTGAGTGTTCATCACCTCATCCAAGGAATTACATCATCAACTCAAATGCATGTTACACATCATAGATTGGGAAATATCTGAAAATGATGCTCTGAATGACACAACCAATCCTGTTACATGGCGCCTTAAATTCTGCTCTGATATTTGCTACCCAACTAAAATAATTTTTCCAAGGTTTAATAGACTCTCTTCTCCGTATTTAAAAAGACTGCAAAGAGAAGAAAAACTGCACAGATAGAAGGAAAATGGTGGTGTTAAGTGACTTAACTGCCTGATGAAGTCTGAAATAAAACGCTTAAACCTAATACATAGCCAGAAGGTTTGTCACGTAATAACCATTCTAGTATATGAAGACATTCTAATGATCTTACTGGAAAGAGAAAACTCAGAAATGAAACCTTCGACAACGTGTGTACATTAAAAGAGTCATTCATACGTTAACTCGCGGATGTTACTTTATCTAGTTGTTCATGTATAACAGAATGCAATCTCCCTAAACTCATTGAAACAGAGGTGTTCAAAACCCTGAAATCATTGAGACCTTGGCAATCCCCCAGACCCTATGGTATGTCAGATATTCTTTCCACCAGATCTGCTGATATTCTATGCCATCCAACTTACAAACATTTTTAGTGAATCTTTTGCTAGAAATGACATACCAACCGCCTGGAAAGCAATTAAAATATTTCCGGTGCCTAAGTCCACATCTACTGGAGCTAGAGTGAAATTCCAACTGATCGCAATTACCTCATCATAGCTAGAAATAATGGTAAAACTATTGCTTCGTGTACTTGAACCTCGTTTGAAGGCTTTCAGAGATCCAAATCAATTTGCCCACAAACCCTCAAGGAATATCTTAGATACTGCAGTTGTTTTACATCATAATATTGTTGCCAGTCTGGACAAAGGTGCTAAGTGTGTTAGATCTGCCTTCTTAGATCATACTTCTACCTTAGGCTCTATCCCTAGATACCTCTTATTAAACAAGCTTGCCAGTACTCACATTGAGTCATGGATTGCAGACTGGCTTCATTCATATTTCGCTGAGAGAAGACATTACATTCTCTGTACAGGGAAGCGCTCTACTTCACTGCTAAGTGAAGCCGGTATTTCTCAAGGTGCTGTTCTTTCTTTTTTCCTTTTCTCTTTCTTTTTGCATGACTTACCAACCTCAACTGAAGCTTACTTTATTAAGTATGCTGTGATGACCTGACAGTATCCATGACGATCATCTCCTCTTCTGATTATTCTCAGTTTAATAACTTCTTAAACGAAGTTGGTTGCTGGTCTTCCTTACATGGCCTCACACTCAATCCCACCAGATGTCAGATGGCTAATTTTAGCCTAGGGTTTAAAAAAGACCTTTGCACACTGCTGCAGTCCCATGACTGTTGTCTGGTAGATACCTGTGTTATAGAGAGTGTATCAAGCGTGACCCATCTTGGCTGATGCTTTTCTTGTGGTCGTTCTTGGTCCCCTCATGTCTTATTGATTTCCAGGAAGCTCCCATGCTTGACTTCTCACATAAGACAACTCGACGTGTCTGGTGTAACTCAGCCTCTACTCTTACGTTTCAATAATCCTTGTATTTCACCTATGCTTACTTATTTTCCCCCTTTATTCTTTTCCGGACTCCGGACAAACACTTAGTTGTAATGCGTAAGATTTTGAAGACTGTTAGTCGAGCAAGTAGCACACCTCTAACCGAGCTGATAAATGTAGTTTTGGATAGGCATCTGGACTCCTGTAGACTGCTGGCTAAAAAAATGTTGTCTGAGGACAAGCATCCTCTGCATCTGGACCTCGCTCCATGTCTGTCGTCTGCGAAGACAACAAGCAAATATGTTAAACTGTATGCACGCACAACTGCACACAAAATCCAACCATATCACCTTATTTTGCTCATGTAGTGTATGGAGAAAGTCTTGTTAGACATGGTCTTATCATGTCCTTGAAGTCATTACACATTTCAATAATCCTGTTATTCGTTATTCTGTACTACAAACTGTTAAACAGAATCATTTTCAACGTTTTAAAAATGTTGTACGATGGGTAAATTGATGCAACAACACACGATGAGAATTCTGTACTGTAAACGTACGGTGGTTTCATAATATTTGAACAATGCTACAACAGCCGGACACCTGTTTGCTACAAAACTGTGCGAGCAATCAACTTTGAAGAAAGGAAATGAATTTACTTAATTCTAGAAAGTCAGACAGACAGAATCACTGTAGGACCTTTCATGCAAGTTCATCGGCTCAAGTTGCTATACTTCACAGTAGTATACAAAGAACGGGTGAACAGGAGACAAAGTTATATGAGATATTAAACAATTTGAAGATAACGTTCAGTGCAAATATTCGAGTTTCAGAAGACGTCAGAGAGTGAATTCACCTGCTCTTTTGTACCCGATTTTCAGCCAGAAGTCCTCCGCCGCTTATTATTTTTTTTCGAGGACTCCTTCCATGTGGTCTGCATCTCCCAGTAAGTCTCAGGTCAATAGTCAGGGACTTCATGGACTGGTGCCACGTCCTAGTCTGGCCACCTGGAATGTTCCAACAACCAAATCTAACTTTCCTTAGCATGATACGTCGAAGTGGGCTGTGACTCGGCATAAGAAGCGCATGTCCAAGCCACATCGGCCGATTAAGGTTTAGGGTCTCATCAACCAACATGCCTATCCTTCACCTGGCCTCAACACTCACCAAACGGTGATCCCATCAAACGTGAGTAATGCTAAGAAATCACCTATAATCAAAATCCTGAAACCGACATATGTCTTCTTTCAACGGTCATATGTCATAGGTGTATAGCAGAACAAAATGAACTGCGTCGCGTAATAGTCGTCCTTTGATGGATGGATAGTTGGCATACGCTAAACGAGTTGAGATTTCGTCAGTAACCAGCCTGTTCAAGCTTATGCAACCCCCAAAGTAAGTGAAGTGATAGACACACTTCACCACTTCACTCCCTATCATTAAACTAGGAGTGGTTCCAGTTGACCAATCCTGGAGCATCAGCTTACATTTGACGGGAGCGAAACGTATGCCAGATATTCTCAGATACTAGAAAGTTCCTAAGATCCAAGTGTCTTAAAATTATAGTGGAGATTTGAATTACGAATCAAGATAACAAGCATTAACTATGAATATTAGATCAAGAATCCTCAAATTCTTCAAGGTAGAATCAGAGATCAAAGGCGAATCCCTCGAAAATCCATATGCTTCTAGACGAGTAACAAAATGTAACGCAGTTTACAATAAAAGGTTATATAGTACGTATTGAAATCAATAGTTGTGATCCTAAATGAAACAGAATGGGAAAAGGAGTAACGTGGACACAATAAGGTTCATATAGTTGCCAAAATCATGTATGTATATGTTTCCTCTAAGCCTAAATAAGCAAAGTTAAATAAGAACGCTTCATTGGGATGTTCTTCGTGAAGCAAACTAGTCCTAGTAATTCTAACTCGTTTGTTATTTCTAAGACTTTATAAAAA